TTAGTCAGGCATCTGTATGAATAGAATGATAGAATGTGTGTGTGTGTGTGTGTGTGTGTGTGTGTGTGTTAAAAGGGGATTTATTAGAGTGGTCTGACTAGCCGCTAGTCAAATAATGGATGTCTCCTGATGGAAAGGCCAAGAATTCTGTAGTTGTTTAATACATGAAGACCTCAGCTGGTCTTCAGGCTGAACCAGAGTACTAAAGAAGTAGGTTCTAATACCAGTGAAGGCATGCCTCAGGAGTAGGGCAGGCGAAGTTGCCGGCAAGGGCCAGGGCCAGGGCCAGGGCAAGGGCCAGGAGCAAGCAGACAAGTTATGAAACTTTAGGAGGTAAGGTCAGGATGGTAGAGGTAGGGTTTGATGGCCCACACCTGTGTCCAGTCCTGTTCTCTCCTCAACATGAACAAGCCTCTGCCATGGGCTCCTGCTGCTATTGAGTTGCTGCTACACCATGTTTCCCCTGTTATGATGACTGAACACCCTCTGAAACTGTGAGCCAACAGACCTTGACCCCATAGTTGTTTCTGACAGGCATTTTGTCAAAGCAGTGGGAAACAGAACCAATAGAGACAGAAAGGGCCAGTGTAGGTTCCCCCCACACACAAATCAGCTTTCTAATTCCTCTGTTAGGAATCTGTACTGTTTCATAAATCAAAAACTCACAATTTATGCTTGTGACCAGCTCATCATAGGTGAGACTAGTTCACAACACTCTCTTAAAGAAGCAGAAGTGAATTCCCAGTGTTAACTCCAGCTTCCTTTTAGCAGGTAGTTCAACGCTGCAGTCATGGCCCCTCACAGCTGGGGTTCTAGGTACAACTTAGATTCTTCATGAACCTGCTTGAGAAGGAGGGCATCACTCACATCTGGTTCTGCTCTTTCTTTCCAGAAGCCCAGTGAGAAGGAACTTATAGGCCAAATGCCAATGTTCACCTCTAGACTGATCTGAGAGGAATCCAGAGGCTCACTCTAGGATTACGTCTCTGGCAGAAAGTTCTTGAAGCTAACTTTGGTGGTGGTAGTGGCAGCCTCCTCCTCCCCTGCCTTCCTGGAGTCTTGGAGGCAGCAGCCCCAGGGGTCAGGTCTGTTCTGCAGTACTACACACTGTTTGGAGACCAAATAAGATCCTTTCAGGCTATTTCATAACTGCCTAAACCATCTCATGCTTAAAATAGCTGGTTATTTGCTTCCTAAGACGCACCCTGACTCACATAAGGGTTTCCGAACAACTGGGAGACATGCCTGTGCAGAATAAAAACATACGTTACAACGAGTGGAATGGAAATTCTTCAGCACCATTAGTGCAAGTGTCTTGAAATCCATCAGCTTCGAGAGGAAGAGTAAAACAACCAGCAGAGCTCTGCCAAGCTAGCACATGACCAAGATCCCCAAGCCAGCAGTCACGGCAGATTTCCTTGCTCCTGCTAAGACAGTCGGGTGTAGTGCAGCTTCAAATGCCTTTTTCTAAAACGGATCTAAATCTTCTCTGTGGGCCTTTCCTCAATGGGATTAAGAAGGAGCTCGGGAGAAGCAGGCATGACAAATTAAACGTGCCTATTAGAATTTCAGCACCCAGGGCTCTGTTTGCTGTAGCGACAGCCTTGTGTTTCAAGTTTCCCTGTTTCCAGGCAGGTGTGTACACAGAGCTATACGAATTCACTGTGCCAGGCTCTCTGATCTCTTGCTGGTTTCCTATATGAAGTGGCCTGGCTTTGCTTGGCCCTGGGCTGAGGAGCACAAGCAATCCCTCACTGTACCAGGAGACATTGCCTTCTTTCTAATACAATGATTCTTGCCTCTGACCATATCCCCTTTCCCAGCAGAATGGCTCCTTTGCTTTCTCTAGGCCTCCACGGTCTGCTGGTCTAATTGTTCCCAGTCTCACTTAGGTATGTGCAAGACATTAGCATTTCCACTGCAGGCTAGAGGGGCCAGAGCCTGCCACTGTCTTAGGCCTGCACTCACTTCTCAGCTGGACCCCATGTTGTGCTGGGACAAGTCCTGGATAGGCTGTGGAATCCATCTGGATGTGGCTCTTCCTGGATACCCCCACTCCCCATTTAGAGCATGAGAGTATGACTTTCAGCTTTCAGGTTTCATGTGGGCACAAGAAACCAACATCTACGTTGATGCTTCTAGCTGGAGAGGGAGAGACCAGATGCATGCCTACCCTCTGGCTTCCCCACTTACAGTAGGGAAGAGAAGTTGTCCCTTCTTCCTCTCAGCTGGGAAGTCTCATCTATATCACAATGTTCTCATCCATTGCTGTCTAGTAAAGCCCACATCCAGGGAACAAAGCCCATGTAATAATATCCCTTCTATGACACCAACCATTGTCAAAGGGCTGAGCAACACTCAGCCCTAAATGAAACACCTACATTAACTCTCCCCACAAGGCTCATGGGCCATCCTAGAAGAGAGGGAAGAAGGATGCACGAGTCAGGGGATGGGGAACAAATGCTGTGAGATGCTGTCTCTTGGTATGATGTGGCTGCTGCTTTCACAGACTCACAGCCGCCACACAAGATCAAACCCACAAGACCAGTCGGCGTTCCAACTGACAGCACTAATTGGACTCAGTGGGCTGCAAAAAAGAGACAAGACATGGAGTGAGGAGGGAAATGTGTTGAGATTTCCTGAGGAGGAGGGGAAAGGGGCCGTAGGATGGATATGATCAAGACTTTGGAAGAGGAAACAGATAATGTATATTCTATTGTAAAAAAAAAAAATGCATAGGCTGATACCAGCATCACTTTCTCCCTTAGTAGAATATGTTTGATATCAAAGCTCAGATGAGTAAATCACTTATAGTAGATGCTTCAAAGCTTCTATAGACAACATGGACCTGCCACTGTTTAGACAACCTCCTTAATTTTGACTGTTAGTATAGTGTGGTGAAAGAAACATGAAAATAAGTCTCTGTTAAGAATGCAAACCTTGGGCTGGAGAGATGTCTCAGTGGTTAAGAGCACTGGCTGCTCTTCCAGAGAACCCGGGTTTGATTCCCAGCACCCACATGACAGCTCACAACCATCTGTAACTGCAGTTTTGGGGGATCTGATGCCCTTTTATCAGATCTAAGGCCTGTAAGTGGTGGACCGATATATCTGTAGACAAAACTCATATACGTAAAATAATTCAAAACTTTTTCTTAAATGCAAAACTTCAATTTTCACATATACTCTTGGGACTGGATTGCTATGCAGAGTAAATGTGGAAAACAAGCAAGTGATCTCAAAATGATAACAGAACTCTTTCTGAAAGGTGTGTGCATGTGCACGTGCATGCAAATGTACAAGAGCATGCATGCACTTTGTGTTGCTAAAGATGGAATCCAGAGTCTCATGCATGCTAGGCAAGCTATACTATTGAGCTTCACCCCAGCCCATGGAAAGGTGATTTGGCTGCAAGCTATGCATAGTGAAGTACATACGGCTGATTCAACTGGGACTAGCCACAAGAAAGCTGCTCTTCAGGCAGAAGGCAGGAGGATGGTGGAATGCAAGGAGGGCTCCTGGAGAAGGGAGAAGACAGTCTGGCAGGAGATAGATAATTGCTATCATGTGATACTTCTCAGAGGTGATGCTTAGGGGATAGTTACAGTGAGTACTATAGTTTGTACCCTGAGTGTTTGTGAGTTGGAAACTTGCTTCTAGTATAGGAATGTTGAGAGATCACCTAGTGTCTTTGGGGGAATCTTCCTTCAGGAGGGATTAAGGTGGTTCTCATGGGATCCTAAGTAATTTGTAAGGAAAGTGCTAACTAATTTCATTTCAACTTGACACAAACTGGAGTCATCTCAGAGGGAGATCCCCAGTTGAAAAACAGCCTGCATGAGATTGGGCTGTGGACAAGCCTGTGGGGCATTTTCTTAATTAGTAATTAATGTAGGAGGCCCCAGCCCATGTTGGGTGATATCACTGCTGGGCTAGTGGTCCTAGGTTCTATAAGAAAGAGGTTGAGCAAGCCATGAGATACAAGCCAGCAAGCAACACTTCTCCATGGCCTCTTTATCAGCTCCTGCCTCCAGGATCCTGCCCAGTTTAAGTCCTTGCCTTGACTTTTCTCAGTAGGCTGATTCAGAATTTGTAAGTAAAATAAGCCTTTTTCCTCTCCCAGATGCTCTTGGTCATGGTGTTTGATCTCAGCAATAGTAACCCTAACTAAGACAGAGTATGTATGGTTCCCTTCCATGCTCTGGCTTCCTATGTCATTATGTGATTTTCTTGTTTCTGCTTTCCTTATTGTTGGGACCTCATCTCCATTATGAAGTCAAATAGATGCTGATGACATTCCCTTAAACCCCCAGAATTCAAAGCTAAAAAAATATGTCTTTATAAGTACACAATAGCTTCAGTTATTTTGTTATAGTAATAGAAAAAGAGAATAACATAACTAATGAGTCATAAAGAGAAATCTGGGGCTAGAGAACCCTGAATGAAAATGATAAGAAAGCCGGGCAGTGGTGGCGGATGCCTTTAATCCCAACACGTGGGAGGCAGAGGCAGGTGGATTTCTGAGTTCGAGGCCAGCCTGGTCTACAGAGTTCCAGGACAGCCAGGGCTACACAGAAAAACCCTGTCTCGAAAAAACAAAACAAAACAAACAAACAAAAAAAAACAAACAAAAAAAGAGAAAATGATAAGAAAGTTGGTTTATTTTCCTGATGTAGACTATTTGGCAGAGAGTCCAGGATAATATTTGAGCATGGGCTTTGAACCTTGACCTAGCCTAGCTATGTAACTTCCCTAAGGCTCAGTGTCCCCATCTCTAAGGTGCTGATCATAATGCATCTTACCTCAGTGGTTGGTTGTACTTGAGGAAATAATGCCTGCTTATGCACCCACAGCCTCACACAGCATAACTACCAGCCCTGAGGCTGCCTCAAAGTTCTCAAAGGCCACTGTTGGGGGTACTGGTTGGGAACGTCAGCTGTGGAGTGCTGACTGAGTATTAAGTATTTAGTGTATTTTGTTCTTAGTTTGGCCATAGAAGAAATGTTTAAGAAGGACAAAAAAATGAATAAGGACAAGGGGCTGGACGTGAACAGTGTACAAGCAGGAGCCCCTGAAGAGTCAGACATGATACTGAACAATGGAGGAAAAGCAAATGAAAGGGACAGCAATGGTAAGATGGAAAGAGGAGGGTTGCCTTGGGGAGCTCTGAATGTGGGGAACAGGTGTCACTGTTGAGTCAAGAAAGAAAAGTTGTTGTTAAAGCAAGAAACATACATGAAAGACCTATGTCATTGCTGATGCTTGGCTGTCTGGTGAATGGCATTACTCAGATCTGAACACCATTCATCAGATGCCTTCATGGTCTCTATGAATAAGTCTTCTGGGGCTAGAGAGATGGCTCAGTGGTTAAGACCACTGACTACTGTTTCAGAGGTTCTGAGTTCAATTCCCAGCAACCACATGGTGGTTTATAACCATCTGTAAAGGGATCCAATGCCCTCTTCTGGTGTGTCTGAAAACAGCTGCAGTGTACTCATCATATATATATATATATATATATATATATCTTTTAAAATGTTTTTAAAAAGATAAGTCTTCCTTGGTGTAGGTAGTCAAACTTTTGTTTCTTTCTCTTTTTTTTTGCATTTTTTCCTTCTTTTTTTCCTTCTTTTTTTTATTTTTTTAATTTTTTCTCAAATCATAATTAATTCACACAGGGGTATAAACACAGAAAGGCAGGACGTGGGGAAGGGAATGACACTGGAGTGTGGGTGCTCAGGGAGAATACAGATATCTTCAGAACCGAGTATTGGCTGGGTGAAGGTTCAAGGGACAAGTCACCATGACTCTGCCTATGACTCGCTTGTCCCCATCTAAGCTGGTATCGTCTGCCAAGGCTACCTATTTACAAGGTCCATGACCACTCAGGCTTATAAATTTCCACAAAAGCTGCCTGTTGACATTAGCTTATAGCCATCTGTTTCAATGTTCTTCCACTGAGACCCAAGACTTGGTGTTAGTATACATGTATGACAGGCCCACTGCTGATTTAGGCCTATGGCTGATTTTAGGCCTACAGTGTGTAAACAGGGCTGCCCCTGACATCTCCTCCCTTCTCTAAGTATAGAAGGACTGTGGCAATTCTAAACTTGCAAAGGCGGCAGGGATAGAGGCCTGACCTCCAGTATTTGAAGGGGACCTTGTAATGGCTCCAGTCCCCCTGTCATTGTCCAGTGAGGCATGAGGGCCATACCCATCCCGATGTCTTTTTCCTGGAGAGGGGATACTTTTGACATCAACCCCTATGCAGTCAGGCTTGTCCCTCAGGGAACCCAGATAGATATTTTTATCTTTTATTTATATTCCCTTGCAGTGCTTAGCCTCGCAGCCTAAGCAAGAATTCAGATCGCCTGTCAGAGGGGGTTCTGGGTTCTCTGCTTGGTCTAGGGGTAGAAGTCCCCCCTTTTAGGTTGGGTGGAGATGGGTTTTGGAAACACCCTGTATAAAGTAACAACCTCATCTTGAGTCTCGTGGTCCTCCATAGCTATCTTATGATAATGTATCTGAGTAGGTTTTGCTATCAAATTATTTATCTGTTGTATCACAGAGTTAGTCCGCCTATTTGAGAGCCAGGGACCAGCATAAAAAAAGCAAAAAGAACCCAAATAATGGTCCCAAGATGGAAGGAAATAGGGTTGACAACCTTGGAGAGGCTGCAAATCAATTCTTGTACCAGCATTCATCTGTCTCTTTCTCTCTCTGATTTTTCTTAGGCTTCACTACCTATTTCATGCTCTCTTTAACCCTCCTTGCCTTGTCTATGTAAAGGCAACCTTCTTCTTTGAGGGTTGTACACAGTCAAGAGCTGTATACAGTCTTTTCTATTGTACTAGAGTAAATCAAGTCCAATAAAGATCTGCGATTTTAGGAGGTCTCTTCAGACAGTGAAACAAGGTATTTCTTCAGATTAGTGATTTCAATCTCTAGCTGTTTGATGTTCTTTTCAGTGGCCCTTCAAAGGTCTGAGCAGTATAAGTTCGGAGGCCAGCATCTGGATTAGAACTTCTAACCGCAGACATCACAGGTGATTCATTTTTACCTGGGATGCTGCCTGAGTGAAAGCTCCTGGGAGTCCCTCTTTCTCTCGGTTTTCTGGTGTTGGGTACGGAGCTGTCGCCTGTGACCTGCTCTATGCTCAGGGCCCAGACCCTTTTTTTTTTTTGCATTTTGATTTAATTATTTTTTTTGTTGTTGTTCAGAAAATTCATTACAGATTCTATCCAAAAATGAGGCTTTTCTGGTCCCAGAGTTCTTGGATGCATCCCAGTCCAAAGAGAAGGCCATTGCTTCCATGGTCAGCAACACACTTCATATGTCCACAGAAGAGTCTGAGTTCCCACAGCCGGTTAGTAGCACCCCAATGTTCTCAGAGAATACCATCCATCCCAAACATGAAGGTAGCCCCAAGTCCTCATCGAAAAACACCCAGCTGAAACAGGAAAACATTTCTACAACCTCTGGCTACTCCAAGCAGACCAACTATAGCAACACCCCCAAGTCCTTGGCAAAAAGCACCCATCCCAAACAGGGGAGCACCCTCAACCCTGCTAATGGGACCCATTACAGGGAGGCTGACATGCCTATGTCCTCAGAAGACACCATTCAATCCAAGAAAGGTAACATGCCCAAGTCCTCAGAAGACACCATTCAATCCAAGAAAGGTAACATGCCCAAGTCCTCAGAAGACACCATTCAATCTAAGAAAGGTAACATGCCCAAGTCCTCAGAAGACACCATTCAATCCAAGAAAGGTGACATGCCCAAGTCCTCAGAAGACACCATTCAATCTAAGAAAGGTAACATGCCCAAGTCCTCAGAAGACACCATTCAATCCAAGAAAGGTGACATGCCCAAGTCCTCAGAAGACACCATTCAATCTAAGAAAGGTAACATGCCCAAGTCCTCAGAAGACACCATCCAATCCAAGAAAGGTGACATGCCCAAGTCCTTAGAAGACACCATCCAATCCAAGAAAGGTGACATGCCCAAGTCCTCGGAAGACACCATCCAATCCAAGGAAAGTGAAGTTCCAACATCCTTGCAAGACACCATTCAGTCCAAGGAAGGTAAAATCTACAAACCCCTAAAGGACAGTGTCCAGTTCAAGGAGAACAAAATCCCCAAGTCCTCCCAGGAATCCATCCAGTCCAAGGAGAGTAAAATCCACAAACCCTTAAAGGACAGTGTCCAGTCCAAGGAGAGTGAAATGCCAAAGTCCTCCCAGGAATCCTTCCAGTCCAAGGAGGGTAAAATTTATAAGCCCTTAAAAGACAGCATTCCATCTAAGGAGGGAGATATTCCCAAGTCCTCAGAAGACACCATCCAGTCCAATGAAGAAATTACGGTGTCCCCAGAAGACACCATCCAGTCCCAGGAAGGTGACATTATCAAGTCTTCAGAAGATGTGCAGCTCTTGGAGAGCAAACTCTTACATCTTGAAACAGAAATAGAGACCCTGGAGGAAGGCTTGGTGAGAGTGATCAAAGACAAGGAGGAATTTGAGGAGGTGCTCAAAGATGCTGGAGAGAAGCTGGTGGCTGTGGATTTCTCAGCTGCTTGGTGTGGCCCTTGCCGAATGATGAAACCACACTTCTATTCCCTGTCTTTAAAGCACGAGGATGTGATATTCTTGGAGGTGGACACTGAGGACTGTGAGCAGCTGGTACAAGACTGTGAGATCTTTCACCTCCCAACTTTCCAGTTTTATAAAAAAGAAGAAAAGGTGGGTGAATTTTCTGGTGCCCTTGTGGGAAAACTCGAAAGAAGCATTGCAGAATTAAAGTAATCATATGTTCTGAGAACACTGTAAACTAGTCATTAGCTGTTTTATTTTTAGTTTGACAAAAAAAAAAAAAAGATCAAATAAGACAAATGTGTTCATCTAAATGGTTCTGCTTGTATATTAAAAACATGAAAGCCTACCTTTTATCTGAAAGAATCAATTCATGGAGTAGCCATGATTCTTTTTGTCGGAAAAAAAAAAGGCAAAAACAGATATTCTCTGGGTGGAGATTGTAAGTCTCTCTCTTTTTCCATCTTGAAAATCTTGCTCTTTGGGTATCTGCAGCAACATTGGAAATGCAGGCATTTGTCCTGTAGAAATTCATAGCTAAAGGGCAGCAGGAAGTTCTTGACATGTATTTTCTGGTGCTCACATGTCTTTAGGGGTTCTGATAAGAAACTTCTGGAAACAAAGGGTTGGAATGAGTCACAGGTCTTTGCTATTCTTTTGTACGAGGAGTGATAGAGTCCTGTGCACTAAGACTGTTTCCAGTTTGTAGAGACTGTTTGACTAATCTATGCTCACAAAATCTGAGAGAAAACTCTAAACCTGGCTTCTCTGAGGCTCAAGTCTGAGCACATCATCATGGCATCATCGTCTTGGTAAAAAAGGACTTGCATTATCTCCTAGGAATGAGGTTGGTGATTCCTGTTCTCAGGGGTCTACAAGACTGAAGACGCAGGTCTGAACTGGGTGGTAACTTGGTCCAGAGGTTTTGTTCTTTAAGTAGTCTTGGAGATTTAGTTGATACATAGTGCTAGTTCTAGGTAATAAGACAACTAGATGAGTTTGGCCAGCTTCACTAACTTGTGATACCTATGAGTTACTTTGTGATGCCAGAAAGGACTTTGAGCAAAGTCCCTTTGCTCTAATTATCATTGTTATTACTGATGTTGTTACTGCAACAAGATCATGTGACAGGAGGCCCATCATCAATGAATTTTAAGAGGTCAGTGCCATGTTATTAACTTGAGGCACTATAGCAGAGTTCTAGAGAGTACCCCTTAAAAATGAATCTTTGCAACTGTTGAACGCTCTCATTCCCTTTGTGCATGCTGGCAACCATGTTCTGTTTTCTATTGAATCCAAGTTTTTTTTTTTAAATGAAGTATTAGTGAACATTTTAAAGATCAGCATTCCCTCTATAAAATATGACAATCCAAAGTTTACACTAACTCAAGAATTGAGGCCAATCTTAGGGGCTGATTGTAGGTCTCTTCACTAGGAAAGGACTCATACCTTCTAGTCCTCTGTCCCAGACTCTTGTGTGGCAATCTCCCTGGTGAAGCAGAGAGTAGGACAGCCCTACCACCTGCCACTGCACACCCTTGGCCCTCCTTAGAGACATTTGTCACAGGCTCCTTTGCAGCAGGGACAGCTGCATGACAGCAGCAAAGAAAATGCTATAAGCACTTGGCCTTCTTTCCAAAAGTGATTCAGAATGACCTACTAAAAGTATAAGTGATAAGACACAAGCCAGGGACCAGGAACCAGAGCCACAGAAGGAATAATGTGTCATAGATAATTGCTCTGGCTGAGCGACACATTTTATTCTGAATTTCTTCATCACTAGGAGAGAAAAGGGAAACTCATAAATCCCCAGATGCCATCACCTGAGACAGACAGGCTTTGGAATGTGAGAGAAGGGTTAATGCTTTGCCTTAACTGTGTAATTGAATGGAATATAAATGTGAGACATTGAGTGACCAAGGGTTGTCTTAATGGGTGTTTCCCCTTTGCTAACCCTAGTTTATACTGTGATAAACAGTTGTCATGTGTTTTTTCCTAATCTTCAGCAGAAGCTGGAGCTGTGGGAACAAAGTCTTTCTGAGTGGGGAGATGTCCTACCCACAGTGAACGAATGTCCTACCAGTTTCCCTACAAATGGACTTTGACTGCATCCCATCTGCTTTCTCTCCTAGTGAAGGAAATGTCTCTGAATTTTCTATTCCAGTTTGTTCCTACTTCCCCTTGGATAGGACTAATTTTTATAACTGTCAGATTAGACAGATATGCCCAGAATCTAAGGAATTAACCCAGTCTATACTCCTAGAATCCTGGAGAGCATACTGATTCTTTTAAAACACTCCATTTACAGGATCAGAGACACAGAGTTCTCTTATGGGGACTGTAGCATCATAGACATTTCTGAAAATGGAATGCATAGGGCTAGGTTGCTATTATGGTTTGAATATAGAATCCCCCAAAGGCCTGTGTGTGGAAGGCTTAGTTCCCAGACCCCAAACATTCCTGTGTTGAAATCCCCAGGTGAGAAAGCTACTTTGGGTGGGTAGGAAAAACTTGAGCACTCAGGGCCTATTTGGAAGAAGTGCATCATTGAAGGCATGCCCTGGAATGACAATGTGTCTTTGGCTTTTTCCTATCTGTCTGTCTCTGCTTCCTAATGGTCATGAGGTGATGGGCTTTCTCTACTGCAAGAGTCCCACCATGATGTTCAACCTTACTTCAGATCCATAGCCACAGAGTCAGCCAACTATAGCTGAGCTTCTGAAGCACTAGCTAAGGCAGACTCTCCCTCTTTTAAAACTGTTTCTCTTAGGGATTGGACATAGCAGTAACAAGTCTAACAAAGTCACTGGGTTATCATAGGCAATGCCCTGAAATTAGCCTTAACAACCAGTGGGATAATAAACGAGTGATTCTCAAAGGGTTGACTGGCCCTCTCACAAGGGTCACCTAAGACCATCAGAAAATGCAGATATCTACATTATTATTCATAACAGTAGCAAAGTTTCAGTTATGAAGTAGCAGCAAAAATAATGTGGTGAGGGTCACCACACCATGAAGAACTGTCTTAAAGGATCGGCAGCATTAGGAAAGTTGGGAACCACTGTAACAAACAGAATCAAATAGTCTTATCTAAAAGTAGGTGAAAGATGTTCAGCCACTTCCTTCTGAAGTAAGGACAAATTTGTAACATATGTGGGAATTTTCCATTATCAGGAAACGAATAGGGATAAATGATCAAAGTTTGAAAGTAGCTTGTAGGGAAGTAGTCAAGTCATATGCTCCTACAGTTGAGCACTACAAGCTTTCTGACCACAGATGCAGTGAAGTACAAATAAGTTCACAAATTTTAGCTCATTTGTCTGCCTAGTACCTTAAGCATCAGATATTTATTCTTCATAATTCTGGAGTCTAGAAGTCTGCAATCAAGGTGTGCAAAGACTCCATTTCTGAAGTGGGTACCTTTCCTCTGTCTTATTGTCATGTGGTTGGATCTGAGTCCCTGGTGTCTCTTTAGGTGTCTTAACTTTCTGTAACAGTAACCACTCAGATTAGGATCAAGATTTGGATCCACTCTAACAGCCTCATTTTATCTTAATCCCCTATTGAAAGATCCTGTGCAAATAAAGACATATTCTATCATACAGGAACTTGAGACTTCGACATAGGAACTTGATGAAAACATAATTCAACCAATAACTTCATAAGATGAGCCTCAGGTTGGGGCCAAAGATTCTCCTGGAGTATATATGGCTTAGAAATGTACAGTGTAGGAGTCCCTGCCTCTCTGCCCTCTCTGCTCTCTCTGCCCTCTCTGCCCTCTCTGCCCTCTCTACCCTCTCTGCCTCCACACTTCAAATCCATTGCTCATGTTGTTGGTGTTTTGATCCAGAGGAGGTGGGGACAGCCTATGAAACTCACCTCAGGCTGCCATGGCATCAGCTCTACAAGGGAAGATGAGGCTTGTCCAAAGGTCAGGGAGAAGGTTGTACTAGAGAGGTCTCTGCTTCCCTTGAGTATAGACTTGGAAATAGGCTGGAAGCATGATGCTCAAGATCTTAGAAAATGCCAAACTGGAACATTTCACCAGGCATTTCCTCCATTCAAAAGAAGTCTGGGAGCTCTTGTGTTAGCCACTAGGCTTAGTATCCTAGAGCACATGGCATCTTTTCCAGCTTGCTTGATAGACATGTAGGTCTGTTGAGTTCTTTCTTATGTGTCAATATTTGTGAGCTTGGGCATAGAAATTCTTTTCCAATCAGATATTGGTGGTTAACATCTTTAGTCCCAGCACTCAGGAGATAGACACTGGTGGATCTCTGAGTTCAAGACCAGCCTGGCCTACACAGTAAATTCTAAGACATCCAGGTCTATGCAGAGGAACCCTGTCTCAACAAAACAAAACACACACGCGCGCGCGCACACACACACGCACACACACAAAATTAAACTTTTCCCATGGTCTAGAGGAAAATCACCCTACAAAGCAGCCCTCTGTAAAACCCCTCACTTGTGTAACCTGAGAGTCCCACCCATATCCATCTTGCTCTTAGGAGATCTTAGCATCTCTGGGACAGCAGCACCTTTACTTAACCTCCCCCACCTTTCCAGAAACTCACAACCCTACTGAGTGCTACATTTTGGATTTGAGGTGTCTCCCAAAGGTCTATCTGTTAAGGAGTTGGTCCCCAGCTTGCTGTTGTTGGGAGGAGGTAGAACCTTTAGGAGGTGAGGACTTGTGGGAGGAACTTGGGTTACTGGGGGATATGATCCTGAAGGGAGTTGAGGGAACTTGGTTCATCCTCTTCCTCATTTTGTGTCCCTGGTACCACGAATGGAGCAGAAGACTCTCATAAATTCCTGCTTCACCACAGTCTCCAAAGCGATTACCTATGAACCAAATCTTCTGAAATTTATGAGCCAAAATAAACCTTTTATTTATTTTTTCAATATTTATTGTATGTGTATGAGTATTTTTGCTACATCTATATATGAGTACCATGTGAGTACCCAGTTCCCATGGAGTTTAGAAGAAGGTGTCATACCTCCTGGAACTTGAGGTAGGGATAGCTGTGAGCCATCATGTGAGTGCAGGGACCAAGCCTGAGTCCTTAGCAGCAGTGTCCTTAACCCCAGAGCCATGTTTTCAGCACCCAAACCTTCCTCTAAAATTTGATTGTTTCAAGCATTTTTTCCTGCAGCTGAAGTTGACTGACACTCTGAGAACTGGCTGCTCTCTCAGCACCATTTTCTTC